TGCCCCCCCCCCCCCCCCCGCCGGTGTTGCTAGGGTAGAAAATTTTCCGACGATCGTGCACACAGCGCGCGCACACCTAATGGGATGGATATGAGCAAGCACTCGAAGAAGAATATATATCTATAGGGGTGCAAATTCTGCTGATCTGAACGTTGTCAGACAACATATTGTTCTCCCTGCCTTCCTCTGCCTCCCCACATTTCAGCTGATTTCAATGGATGTAATCCAAAGCTAGACAAGTTTGCCTGTGCAGCTAGAAAGCCCCTCTCTCAAAGCTTCAGACCAACTTAAAGGCAGAGTTCTGAATCTTGTCCATAAGACATTTTCCTCCCTTGAAGGTAGATAACTGTAAACCTGGAAGCTGATATTGCCAACAGCTGTTTCATGTCCCCAGTCATCCTAACAACTCTCGCTCCTTACTGCCTGGTTTCATTCCTGTTTCTCTCCCTGGCCAGCACACACTGTCCTTGCTCCTCACTCTCCCCAAAAGCCAGGAGGAGGTATAGCACACACTGACCCCAAGTTCCACAGCAAGGGCCCAGTATTTTAGTGGCAGAACAAATGAGGCAGCAGTCTGAAATGCATGAAAAGAGTAATTTGCAGCCAAATTCAGCATCATGTCACAGAATTCGGGCTAGATACTAAAGAATGCACGGAGTGCTGATTAGAAGGGCTAAGAGAAACAAGCATATTTAGAAAAAGGAGATGAACTACTTACATATAGAGAATTTCTCTGTTAACAAGGACAACTAGAAATAATCTTGAATTACAGCAAGAATTCCCCACAGTAACTTAATGGAACAAAAAAGTTTTACAGTTCTGAAGAATTAATTTACTAACTTTTATGAATAATCAACTTCTCTAGCTTCCTTTTGGCAGCAGCTCTCTCCACAATCTTCTGGTCAACAGTATTTGCTGTCACGAGGCGATAAACAACAACTGGCTTTGTCTGACCAATTCTGTGACACCTGTCTTGGGCCTGAAGATCAGACTGGGGGTTCTAAAATGAACGAGATTAAAGAAATCAAATTAGCTTAATTGTTAAAGATGCACAATGGATTCCATTTTCCATCACTCAGCTTTCCAAGCTGTCACTTTTCAGGCTGTAAAATCTACCATGGGGGATTTTGTATAGTGGGAAGTGGGAAAGATTGAGAAAACACAGTTCAGATGTTCTGGAGAATGAGTGAGAGATTTATCCCTTTACTAAAAAAATCTGTAATTAATGATGGAATTAGCCCTCACTGAGAAATACTTTTGCTCCTGAATTCTCAATTTGTTTATTTGGGAAGGGATATGCTAAGTATGCTTGTGCAGCCTAAGTAGCTGTATACTGAAAAAGTTGAAGATGTACAAGTCCATAGGGACTGGACTCCTAACAGCTCTTCAACCATCCTCCTGAGACTCACAGGAGGCAGTGGGGTTGGGATGTCAGTTGACTGGGGAAATTTTGGGGACCAGAAACCAACAAGGCAGCTGTTGAAATAGGGAAGTTTGCAAAAGTTGTCTGCCCAAGAGAGCTCAAACTTCTTTAAGAGCTTTAAACTTCTTCTCTCCAAGGTAGACATTTTAATAATTATCAGCACTCAAGCAGTACGCATTCTTTTCAACTAGCAGAAAAGCCTGTTTTTAAAAGGAAATTCAGGGGATCAGCCAGTTGCCTACAAAGTAATCTTAGGTGGTTTGTATAGGGCAGCACATTTTTACTTATTACCCTAGGCTACATATTTAATTTGAATATATATATTTTACTATGAAATTTTCACATACATTACTTTCATAGACTATCTGGTAAAGCATCCCATAACACAAAGATGCTAAGTGAGTATCTAGGGTTACAGTAGAAAATTGTATGATGTAGCATTTGAGAAACAGTATGTCATCTTACCCAGTCACTATCATAGATGATGACAGTGTCTGCTGCAGTCAAATTAATGCCCAGGCCTCCAGCCCGTGTACTCACTAAAAATATGAAAACTTCAGGATCTGTATTAAATTTATGCATCTGGAAAAGAATACATCTAACATGAAACAGCATACAAAATAAAAGGATGTGGTCAGTGGGTTTTTTTTTAAAACCCATGTTTTAAATTAAATCAGATGATTAAAAATATATTATTTGTTTTGTCTTTCTACAAGGCATTACATATAAAGCATACCAACAGAGGATGAATTTGTTGCAATTAGTTGAGTTGGATGCATGCACTTAAGTATTTAAGCTGATACTTACATTTTCTTCTCTCTCTGTATAGGACATGGATCCATCCAAACGACTAAATTTGTAATTCCGCAGGTAGCAATAATCCATCAAAATGTCCAACATCAGTGTCATTTGTGAGAACAGCAACACCTACAAGTAGTTAAGATTCCTCAATATCCCTATTTTAAAAAATAAAACCAAACACCAAAAACCACACACAAGGCAACTGATCAGTTATTATCCATATTCATAAACAAAAATACCTTGTGACCTCTCTTTTTCAGTTCTGGCAGCATCCGGTCCAAAAGTAGGAATTTGCCTGAATTCTTCACTAGATCTTCATCAACCTTAAAACAGAGTAAAAAGGAAAAGTCAAGATTTACAATCTCTCAGATGCATCGACATTCAGGTATTAGCGATGACAGTTAATGCACTAGGCTTCCACCTGCGTGGCTAATCCTATCCCATCCTTGTCCAGTCTAGATCATTTGATTGTGTCAACCATTAGTTGTGGCTCAAAGTGCTTGACAACCTCTAAGTGGCCCCTCTGAATGATAGTGGATTCAACTATATGGCAGTCATGCTCATGTTAGTTTGCAAGACTATATTTTGAATGAGATCCTTTGGTTTTCATTAATGGCTTATTAAGGGTTAGTAAAAATGTTAGAGGGTTAAAACTCCCAAATATACATTATATATCATCCAAATTCTTTTCCCCTTTTCAATATAGTAAGAGGGTTTATGTAGTATAAAAAAAAACTATTAAGATGATCTTTATATATATTTATCTTTTGAGTGGGGGGTTGGATGTTGAGCTCCAGAAAGAACATTTTGTCTTGTATACCAGTTCTAGGAAGCTCTCTCTAGAACAGTGGTTTTTAAACTTTTTTTCTGGTGACCCAGTTGAAGAAAATTGTTGATGCCCGTGACTCAACGGAGCTGGGGATGAGGAGGGGCTTGGGGTGTGGGAGGAGGCTCAGGGCTGGGGCAAGGGGTTGGCGTATGGGGTTCAGGGTATGGGAGGGGGCTCTAGGGTGGGGCTAGGGATGAGGGGTTTGGGATGCAGGAGAGGGCTCCCGGTTTGGAGGAGGCTCAGGGCTGAGGCAGGGGATTGGGGTGAGGGCTTATCTCAAGCAGCTCTTGGTCAGCGGCACAGCCAGGATGCAGAGGCAGGCTTCTTGCCTGTCCTGGCACCACTGACTGCGTTGCACCCTGGAAGCAGCCAGCAGCAGTCCAGCTCCTAGGCGGAGGCCCACAAGCAGCTCCGCATGGCTCTCGCCCACAGGCACTGCCCCCCGCATAACAGACACTGAACTTACTCCCTCTCGTATCTGCTGTAGAAATTTCAAAACAAGACAATCACATTGGTAGGGTTTTGTGGAGAAGCATACTATACAAGCCTAAAACTGTTCACTGGCATTACATTACCTACAATAATTTTCAAAGAACACTGCTCTGAATGCTTCAAGATATGTACCTTAAATTGCTGTGTGGCAGGGTCCAGTGGATATTCAATGAGATATGGATGGTTACAACATTTCCTCAGTAACATCATAATATTCTGCAGTTTAAGGTTGATTTCTGAATCCGTAGGAATGGTCATTTCTATCACTGGCCTTGCAACGAGACAATATTATTAGTACAGCAAAATGTCAATGCATTTCAAGTACAGTACAACCTAACAAATGTCTGGAAAACCTACTGTGAACTTCTGGATTTTCAGAATTAGAAAGAAAGGATAATACAGCTTTTCATTTATCTTGATTCAGCAATTCAGTTTCAATGTTATGCAATATTTCATAGTGTATTTAAAGTGATCTTATAAGCTATAAAGATATTTTTAAAACAGGGATTTTTTTCTTCAAGATATGCACCTCTCTTTTTCTACTTCCTCTTGCATTTTGCTGATCAGTTTTTCCAGCTCATCAGGTGTATCACCATCTAGTTCACGGTAATCAACCGCTTTTCGACTCCGACGCTTTGGTCGTCCTGTAGGACTCAACTCGACTACCTCTTCCTGTAGAAAGTGATATAAATTGTGAGTCAGCAGACGTTTCACATGTATCATTGGGAGGAAGGGGAGAGGGCAGTCAGATGTGACCCAATCCCTTGGATTCCCAGTGATTCTCAACATATCTGCTACTTAAAAAGAGTCTCTTCACTAACAGTACACATTTCCCAATATTCATTATTGAAGGTAAATATAAATTATTGGGAAAATATTTTATACTGCCCAGATTTCTCTATGACATTGATGTAGTGAAGACTAGTCTGCAGCGGACATCAGAAAAAGACAGTTACCTTTTTCCGTAATTGGTGTTCTTTGAGATGTGTTGCTCATGTCCATTCCATATTAGGTGTGTGTGCTCGCCACATGCACTGGTTCCGGAAGTTCTTCCCTCAGCAGCATCAGTAGGGGACCAGCTCTGGCACCCTCTGGAGTGGCGCGCATATGCCGCGGTATAAGGGGTGCCGCCAGCTCCCCCCACCCTCAGTTCCTTCTTGTCAGGCAACTCCAACAGTGGAGAAGGAGGGTGGGTCATGGAATGGATATGAGCAACACATCTTGAAGAACACCAGTTATGGAAAAAGGTAACTCTTTTCTTCGAGTGCTTGCTCATGTCCATTCCATATTAGGTGACTCCCAAGCAGTACCAATGAAGGTAGGAGTTCATAGATAGCAATACAGCTCTGCTGAACCCAGTGTCGTCTCTGGCCTGCTGAGTGATGGCATAATGCGGCGTGAACATGTGGACAGAGGACCAAGTCGCGGCTCTACAGATGTCCTGGATAGGGATGTGCACCAGGAAGGCTCCTGAGGACGCCTGAGCTCTAGTCGAGTGGGCTCTGACGATCAGCGGCGGCAGGACCCCCACCAATTGGTAACATGTCCATATGCAAGAGGTGATCCAGTTGGAAATCCTCTGTGGAGGACACTGGAAGGCCCTTCATCCTATCCACTGTGGTGATGAAGAGCAGAGTTGATTTACAGAAAGGCTTGGTACGCTGTAGGTAAAAAGCCAAGGCCCTACGGACGTCCAGCACATGAAGACGCCTCTCTTCACTGGTCTTGTGCAGCTTGGGACAGAACACCAGGAAGATGATGTTCTGGTTCATATGAAAGATCGATACCACCTTCGGCAGGAAGGCTGGGTGGAGCCACAGCTGAACCTGGTCTTTGAAGAAGACCATGTACGGCAGTTCTGAGGTCAAGGCTTTAATCTCAGAGACTTGTCTCACCGATGTCACTGCCACCAGGAAAGCGACCTTTCATGAAAGGTGGGAAAGGAAGCAGGAGCCCAGTGGCTCAAAGAACCAAAATTCCACTGTGGGACAGGGGTCCGTACTGGCGGGAAGAGTCTCTCGAGGCCTCTCAAGCATCTGACCATGATGTCATGAGAAAACACCGTCTGGCCCTGGATCGGTGCGTGAAAAGCAGAGATGGCTGCAAGATGTACTCTAATGGAAGAGTGCGCCAGGCCCTGGTTCCTCAGACAAAGCAAGTAGTCTAAAATAGACTGTATGGAAGAATGCGAGGGAGAGATGCCATGCTCGGACACCTAGCAGGAAAACCTCATCCACTTGGCCAGATAAGTCAGTCTGGTTGAGGGCTTCCTACTCCCCAGGAGGACCTGTTGGATCTCATCTGAGCAGGTCCGCTCCTCCAGGTTCAGCCACGCAGCATCCACACCGAGAGGTGGAGGAACGTGAGGTGGGGTGTAATAGCTGACCGTGGTCCTGTGACAGCAGGTCCAGCCGGTTGAGCAGGGGCCAGGGAGGGGCCGCTGCCAGGTTCATGAGCATGCCGAACCATTGCTGGCGACGCCATGCTAGGGAGATCTGATAACCTGCACCTTGTCTCTCTTTATCTTTGCCAGGACCTTGCTGATGAGTGTAATCGGAGGGAACGCATATATCAAGCTCCCTGACCAGGACAGGAGAAAGGCATCGGAGAGGGAGTCCTTACTGAGAACAAAACCGATGACATTTCCTGTTTTGCCTGGTAGGTCCACTTGGGGAGTACCCCACCTCTGGGAGATCATGCAGGCTACCTCTGGGTGGAGCGACCACTCGTAGTAAGAGGAGAAGTCCCTGCTGAGGTGATTCACTAGCATGTACTTGACACCAGGGAGATGACAAGCTTCCAGGTGGATTTCGTGGCTGATGCAGAAGTCCCAGAGACGGATTGCCCTGCAGCCATGGCTGGCGACGGTCTATTCCCTGTCCAGGGATCACCTGGAAAAGATCGTTACCATCCCCCCAATGATACTTACCTCACTGCGATGGTGGACCGAGTGCAGGACAGTCCTAGAGGGAGTTCCATTCGACACCGCCCCTCACTCCATCGAGTTGGTTTTGGACACCTTGGACCTCGGCTGAGGTGCACACCTCAGCAATCTCCAGACGCAGGGTGTGTGGTCCCCAGAAGAGATGACATTTCACATAAACGTCAAAGAACTCAGAGCGATCCACTGGGCATGCAGAATGTTCCTGTCGGGCAAGGTTGTAGAGTCCCAACGGACAACACAGTCTCAAATGTTCTACATCAACAGGCAAGGGGGGACGCACTCGTCGGCTCTCAGCCAAGAGGCAATCCATCTCTGGGACTTCTGCATCCGCCAGGAAATCCACCTGGAAGGGGTAAAGCCACTATTGGAGGAGCAGAGGGTGTCAAACAGGGAGTTCGAAGACTCCTCCAATTCCTCTGCCTGAAGCCCCAGGTGAGATGCAACCCTCTTCAATAATTCCTGGTGTGTCTTAACATCATCCTGAGGAACTGGGTGAGAAGGTCCCGTGATAGCCTTGTCTGGTGATGACGAAGATGATGCTGGTGCTGTAGGATCCTCAATGTCCATTGGTGGTCCAGCAGCTTGCTCTCCTTCGTCCTCCTGGACCTGTGGGGTCTTTCCCAACCAAAGCCACAAGCACTGGAGGGGGCCGGCATCGAGTGGGCAGCCTGGGTGACTCCCCAAGGGTTCTATGGATACCATGGCACTGGCCACTGTGCTTGGGGCCATAGGATGGGTTTTGGTGCAGATGATGTAGATGGCACCGCAGGCATCGGAGCTCGTCCCACAGTCAGGGGACCCTGCTCCATGCCGGAGCTATAACTGGAGCAGTCGGTACCAAGCGACCAAGATTGGGCAGGGCGGTGGCTCTTGTCTGACTGGTGCTGGTCGCTGCGCCTTGAGGTAAACCTGTCTGAGTGAGACGAATGTCTTGGTCGGGGCCTCGGGGACACCTACTGCATTCGGCGGATCAGCGTCGGAAATCCAGTGATCTATGCCTGATGTACTCGACCTGTACCGGGATCTCAAGCAGGACTGGGAGCTACCACGAGCAGATTGCCAGGAAGATCTTCCCAAATATGGCAATCTTGGAGACAGATGATGATGGGCTAGTGATTGGTGGCTTTGGTCCCCCGATCAGTCCCGTGATCTATACCGAGCCCTTGGAGACGCGAGGGGTCGGTCTTGGTGCGTCTGCTGGGTGGGGCACATGCCTCAGTGGGTCTGCACCAGGCTACTGGCGAGGTATACCTCGAATCCTGCTGTCGGTGCCCAAAGTCAGGAGACACGAAGAGGGCTCTGCTGAGCCTGCTTCTCTATTTCTGAGACGTGACGGTTTTGAGCAGGCGAGCGGTGGCGGGGTGTCCATCGCAATGGGGAACAGTGCCGCTGAGGCAGGGACGTACAAGGAGGTACCAAGGCGGGATCTCCTGTACGGCTTCAGGTGTCGATGGCACCTGAAGCTGACAGAGGCCTCCACTGCTATCCGGAGTTGCAGTCAAGGTATGGGATGGGCAGCACCGCTCAACTCGAGTTGGGGCCCGACTTCCTGAAGGGGGCGTTGAGCTGCCGGCATGGGTCTTGGCTCACCCCCCAGCCTTCTCCTTTCCCTTGTGGGAAGTAGGAGATCTTCCCCACACTGTATTCTTCGGCTTCTTGGCCAGAGCCATGGAGGGAGATCAGTGCTGACTCATGGCGGTGCCAGCAGAGCACTGTGCACCGACACCCTGGTGCTTGGTGCCAAGTTGAACTATTGCCCTTGTGCCAGAGTGAGTGCAGACTCCATCAGGAGCACTTTAAGGTGGTTGTCCCGCTCCTTTTTCGTCCTGGATTTGAAGGACTTACACATTTGACCCTTGTCACTTATGTGCCCTTTGCCTCAATTCTCAGTACACAACTTCAGATACTGAAAGCCTCATTTTTTTAAGAGGAGCATGGGCACTCATTGATCTTGTGAGCTATCACAACAACCTTAACTGTCACTTGAGCAAGAGGAAGGTCTCTTAGCTGTGAACTATAGAAATACCATTATGTCCTTTCTAGGCTAAAACTAGCCAAGGAGCAACATGCTCTAAATTCTGTTACCACTAAAGTCAACAGCAATAAATTCCAATTGAAATAAGTGGCAGAAGGATTAAGCCCAGAACTATTCACAACAAAAAGCTTTTGCTCAGTTTTATTATTTTCTTCAATAATAAGCAGTGCTGAAGTTTAAAAAGATTTAAATATATGGAAAGTTTGACAGGGTAATAAGCCAATTTTGAGCTGAGTGGCAATGAAATAATAGACAAAAGTCAAAAATCTCAAATCAGGAAAATATTTTAGAGACCTGTAACAAACAAAATTTGACACCAAAATTGATAAGATAGAATGTTTCTATTCATCTTCAATGTATAGAATTATAATATAACTAATGAGCTGTGCATCTGTACACAAAACAGAACTGGTAAAAAATGTGTTTTAGAAGTCACTATTAGTGTAACCAATGCTATGGTATTTTCATTCGTGAACCATTGACCATAATAGTTTTATACATTTCTGAAATCCACATCAGTAGGTACCTCATTGTTTCCGAGCAGCTTTTTAATGGTCCGATTTACAATAGCAGTATAGAAGGTTTCTTGTTTCTTTGCCAGTGGTGCATACACCACAACTTCTCGTTTAGGAGGAACCTCAAGAGCTACATCAGATTTCAGTCTTCTCAATAAGAAAGGCGTCAAAATCTAAAATGTAAACAAACATGTATTACAACCACTAAACAGTGGGGCCAAGCTCTCTAGTGCAGCGGTCTCCAACCTTTTTACGCATTAGATCATTTTTTGAATTTAAGGGCAACCCAGGGTCTACCCTGCCGCTTCCCCGGGGCCCCACCCACTCCATCCCACCCCCCAAAATCGCTCGCTCTCCTCCACCCTCACTCACTTTCAGCGGGTTGGGGTTCGGGGCTAGGGTGCAGAAGGGGATATGGAAGGCTGGCTCTGGGAGGCTGCAGGTTGGGTGGTGAAAGAGAAATTCTGGTCCAGCATAGCTGGGCCTGCTGTACTCATACTATTCCTGGTTGTAATGCTGCAGAGCCATTCAGAACCTGCCCATTGAAGGGGGCGGCGCTTACCTCATGCGGCTCCGGCCCCACGCCGCTCCCAAAAGGGGCCAACGCACCCTGTGGGGGGCACGTGGCTCTGCGCACTGCCCCTCTCTGCAGGGACCGCCCCCACAGGCCACAGTTCCCCATTCCCCGCCAAAGGGAGCTGTGGGGGCGGTGCTTGCAGACAGGAGCAGCGCATGGAGAACCCTGCCCCCAGCCCTTCCCCCAGGGCCATGCTGGGCCACTGGCCATTTCTGGGAGAGGCATGGGGCTGGGACAGGCAGGGCGCCTGCCTTAGCAGCAGCCCCGATGCACCACCAGAGATCGTGATTTACTGGGAGAGAGTCTCCAGGATTGACCAGCTGATCACGATTGACCGGTTGGTGACCCATGCTCTAGTGGCATACATTGGTGCAATGTCATTGACCTCAATGGAGTAGTGCCAATTTACACTAGAGAATTTGGCCTGTAGAGCTCTATACAACTACACGCTATAAGCTACATACATCTTGGGAATAGGCATGTCTTTGTGACGATTTGGGACATACTAAAATACTGAGAAATCCTTATAATGGTAATGCAGTTATTGTCTTTGAAAAGTGGCGAATTTAAAAATATTTTGAAACTTACATTCCCTAGGATCTCTATGGACTTAAACATGTGATCCTGACACAACAATGAAATAGTGCCCTTACTGGGATTATAGGAGTTGTCAGTGAAGACTCAGCATTTGTCAACATAGCATATCTGGGAGACACATTTTTCCTTAGAGCCAGAATAGGAAAACAGTGGTGACTGTTGGCAAGTGTTGACTTAAACAAAACAAAACAAAAAAATAGTGACCACCTAACATTAGTTTGGTTTTGCCTTTGAATAGGTGAATAAAAACCCCATTACAAACTTGGAGAGGAAGAAGAGATTCATGCCCACAAAGCTATGTCACGGCCAACAAAATGATTTGAGATAGAAACGTGTTTGGGTCACATTCCATAAAAGAAACTGTTGAAGTCATTTGCAATGGCACACACAACTCAACTTAATGCTAATGATGGTGCATGGTACCAGTTTAATCTGCTGGTGAAACATCAACTGCTAAAAAAGTACAGAAACAAAAGTTGCAGTTAGCTTTAATCTTCAGAATTCTCAATTTCATTTCAAAACCAAAAAAAAAAAAAAAAGAAGTAATTATCAAAGACTTATACTATTCTTTCAATCTTCTAATGTTGAGAAGGTCCAATACAAAAGAAATGCAGGAAGTGCCAACAGTGCCAAAGATACAACACCAGACCTGCTAAAAGACAGACAGTTACGTTTTCGGTAACTGGTGTTCTTCGAGATGTGTTGCTCATGTCTATTCCACAATAGGTGTGCGTGCTCACCACCTGCACTGGTGCCGGAAATTTTTCCCCTAGCAATACCTGTGGGGGGGGCCCCCCCCGTGACTCCTGGAGTGGCCCCTGCCTGGCGCAGTATAAGGGGAGCTGCGCGCTCCCCCCACCCTCAGTTCCTTCTTGCCAGACAACTCCAACAGAGAGGAAGGAGGGTGGGATGTGACATGAGCAACACATCTCGAAGAACACCAATTACGGAAAAGGTAACTGTCTTTTCTTCTCCAAGTCATTGCTCATGTGTATTCCACAATAGGTGATTCCAAGCTATATCTGTTGGAGGTGGGTAGGAGTTCACAAGTTCCCAGGATGGAGGACAGCCCTGCCAAACCCGGCGTCATCCCTGGTCTGGGGAACAATCGCATAGTGCGAGGAGAACATGTGAACTGAAGACCATGTGGCGGCCCTACAAACATCCTGGATGGGGATGTGGGCCACGAAGGCAGCCGACGAGGCCTGAGCCCAAGTCAAGTGTGCCCTCACAATGGGTGGCAGGGGAACACCTGCCAGTTCATAACAGGAACGGATGCACCAAGTGATCCAATTGGACAGCCTCTGAGTGGAAATCGGCTGGCCCCTCGTGCGCTCAGCCAAGGCGACGAACAGTTGCGAGGACTTTCTGAACGGCTTAGTCTGCTCAAGGTAGAAAGCCAGAGCACGCCGCATATCAAGCGTATGGAGACGGTGCTCCTCACTGGATGCGTGAGGCTTGGGGCACTGCCGGTAAAAAATGTCCTGACCCACGTGGTAGACGGAGACCACCTTCGGGAGGAATGCGGGGTGTGGGCGGAGCTGGACCTTGTCCTTATGAAAGACCATGTATGGCGGCTTGGAGGTCAGGGCCCTGAGCTCCGAGACTCACCTGCCCGACATGATTGCAACCAGGAAGGCCACCTTCCACGAAAGGTGAGACCAGGAGCACATGGCCAGTGATTCAAACGGGGGCCCCGGGAGACAAGCCAACACCAGGTTTAGGTCCCACTGTGGGTCTAGAATACGGGAAAAACGGTCCAAACCCTTAAGGAACCGGCCAGTCATAGCGTGGGAAAATGCTATGTGCCCTTGCACCGGTGGATGGAAGGCCGATATGGCTGCAAGGTGCATCCTGACCGACGAGGGCGCAAGGCCCTGGGTCCTTAGGAGGTAATCAAGGATAAGCTGGATTGGCGCGGTCACTGGGGAGACACCCTGGTTCGCCGCCCACCTAGAAAACCGGGACCACTTCACCAAATAAGCGCGGCGAGTGGAGGGCCATCTACTTTCAAGGAGGACACGCTGAACCTGGTCCGAGCACATCCGTTCCTTTCCACTTAACCACTGAGCAACCACGCCATGAGGTGAAGACCCGCTAGGTAGGTGTGGAGGCGGCGGCCCTAGTCCTGAGAGAGCAGGTCCGGGTGGAGCGGCAACAGCCACAGCGGAGCTACCGCCAGGCCCGTTAGGGTGCCATACCAATGCTGCCTGGGCCATGCCAGGGCAATCAGAAGGACCTGGGCCTTGTCTGACTTTATCTTCTCCAGGACCCTGCTGATTAGGGGGAACGGGGGAAAGGCATAGAGAAGCCAGCCTGACCAGGACAGGAGAAAGGGATCGGAGATGGCGCCCCTCCCCAGACCCCCCCGGAGCAGAACCGGGGGCATCGCCGGTTCTGCTGAGTCGCAAATAGGTCCACCTGGGGAGTTCCCCACCTTCGGAAGAGCCAGTGGGCCACTTCCGGGTGGAGGGACCACTCGTGTTGCAAGGAAAAGTCCCTGCTCAAGCGATCCATCCTCTCATTCTGCCCGGTAGGTGGAAGGCCTTCAGGTGGATGTCATGGGCTATACAGAAGTCCCACAGCCCGAGGGCTTTGCGGCAGAGGATCGGGCTCCGCCTTGCCTGCTGATATAGAACATCGAGGCTGTGTTGTCCGTGAGGACGCTGACTACCTTGCACTCTAGGTGTGAGTGGAAGGCCATACATGCCAGCCGCACCGCCCTGAGCTCCTTGACATTTATATGTAGGGTGAGGTCTTGAGCCGACCACAGACCTTGGGTCTGAAAGTTCCCCACGTTGGATCCCCAACCCAGGCCCGATGCATCGGACACCAGCTCCAACGAGAGGGCCCTGTCCCTGAATGGGACCCCTTGGACATGTTGTTTGGGATGGACCACCACCGTAGGGAGGCGATCGGAGAGTCCGGCACAGTGAGGACCTTGTCCATCCTGTCCGTGGCCTGGGAGAACTTGGAGGCCAACCAGAGCTGGAGGGGCCTCATCCTGAGTCTGGCGTGATGGACCACGTACGTGCACACCGACATGTGACCCAAGAGTTGCAGGCAAACCCTGGCTGTTGTCACCGGGAGAGAGGCCATGGCCGATTCTGTGTCCAGGAGCGCCCCGATAAACTCTATGCGTTGGACCAGGACTAAGGTGGACTTGGTGTTGTCTACCAACAGGGCCAAGGCGGTGCACGTGGACAGGAGGAGCACCACGTGATCCCTCACCCGTGACCGGGAGGTGCCTTTGACAAGCCAATCGTCCGGACAGGGGAATATCTGGACCTCCTGCCATCTGAGGTAAGCCGCTACCACCGACATGCATTTTGTAAACACCCTGGGGGCAGTGGACAGACCAAACGGAAGGACCATGAATTGGTAATGATTCTGTCCCACCACGAAATGGAGGAAGCGTCTGTGCCCCTTGAATACGTGGATGTGGAAGTATACATCCTGTAGATCGAGGGCAGCGTACCAGTCCCTGGGATCCAGGGAGGGGATGATGGAGGCCAGGGAGACCATGCGAAACTTGAGCTTCACCATGTACTGGTTCAGACCTCGGAGGTTCAGGATGGGCCTGAGCTCCCCTTTGGCCTTCGGGATAAGGAAATAACGGGAGTAATACCCCTTGCCCATGAACTCCTTGGGCACTGCCTGTATCGCTCCTAGTCCTAGGAGCCGCCCCACCTCCGGCTTGAGCAGAGTATTGTGTGAGGGGTCCCCCAAGAACAATAGGGGCAAGGGGTGGTTTGGCAGGGAAGAAATAAACTGGAAGGTGTAACCCCGGGAAACGGTGTTGAGGACCCATCTGTCCGAGGTTAGCTGCGACCATTCCGGGAGGAAAGCACACAACCGGCTGGAGAAGGGAAGCTTTATTTGGGGTGGATTCCTGATGAGCACTGGCAGGGTGCCCCCGAGTATCCCGTCAAAAACGCCTTTTCCCCGCCTGCTTGCCCTTGGAGGATCCAGGCTGGGGGCATGCCGAGTCTGCCTCTGAGGGCATCTCTTATAGTCCCGCTGCTTCTTATGGGCAGCCTCATACTTCAGGAGGGCGGCCTGGGTGGGAGTCTGCCGCGGCTTGAATTTAGATTTTGCCGGAGCCAGGACATAGAGGCCCAGAGCCTGAAGGTCGTGCCATGCGTCTTTCATGCCATGCAGCCTTGTATCTGTTTCCTCCACAAACAGAGCTTTCCCATCAAACAGGAGATCCTGCATGGAAGACTGCGCCTCGCTAGACAGCCCAGAGAGTAGAAGCCATGACGCCCGTCTCACAGACACCACAGACGCCATTGATCCCGCAGCTGTGTCTGCGGCATCTGAGGCTGCCTGCAGGGACGCCCTAGTGGCTGCTGTCCCTTCCTCCGCTAGCGCCTTAAACTCCTTCCTATTGCATTCCTGGAGGGAGTCCTCAAACTTAGGCAGGGAGCCCCACAGATTGAATTCCTACCGGCCCAGGAGAGCCTGATGGTTCGCCACTCATAACTGGAAGCTCGAAGATAAATAAATTTTCCTTCCGAAAGATTCCAGCCTCCGAGAGTCTTTGTTCTTTGGGGTTGGGGCTGGCTGACCCTGCCGTTCCCTATGGTTGACTGACCTGACCCGGCTGTCTGGCCTGGCCCACCGAGGGACGGCTACAGATGGATACTGGGCTGGCGTAAGATCCGCTGCTGTCCCTGGACCGGGAGGAGTGGCGGTGCCAAGATCTACGACGGCCATGGGACCGTGATCTCGACATTGAGGACTGGTACCGACGGTAATAGCTGCTTCACAAACGGCCTCGACAGGCGGACCCGCGATGGCGAGATGCCAGCAATTGATGCCCGGGGCTGCGATGTCTTGGCGGAGACTTGGAGCAGGAGTCCGAGTGGGAACTGCGTCGACAATAGTGTCATGACCAACTGTGGTATCCTCTCCGAGACGAGGGCCTGGTATCCTCTCCAAGACGAGGGCCGACAGCAACACCCACCGCGGACCCGTCGATATTCGCTCCTTGAGGACAAGCGGTGCCGCAAGTCCCGAACGGATGGAACGCAGCCAGACAGTCTGGTTAGCATGGAGGGCAATCCATGTGGACTCTGCCCCGAGCAGTCGCTGGGCAGTGATCGGCGTCAGGAATGTTCCCTCGACTGAGACGAGTACCGGGCTGGAGGCGGCTTTGGGGATCCCAGGGGCGGTTTGCCTCTGGAGCGCGGGACTGACATCGGTGGCGCTCCAGGCACAGTCATGGACAGGACGTCCCAGGCTGCCTGGAGGGCTTCAGGCGTAGAAGGCATCCAGACATCCGAAGAGGCCTGTTCCAAAGGGACCAGGCTACTCCGCTCAGCTTGAGTCGGAGGCCTGGGGCCTTGTGGCGATTGAGGACTGCCCGACATGGGCCTATCCTCTGTCCCAGATTTCCCTCAGTGCCGCTGTGAAGAGGGAGTCTTCTTGGCCCTCTTGGCGTGCTCCATGGATGGGGAATGGTGCCGACTGGTCGATGGTACTGGAGGGTACTGGTTCGGAGCGGCGTGCTGAGATCGGGGTCAGTGCCAACTCCATCAGGATGGCCCGGAGCCTAATGTCCTCTTTTGGTCCGAGGCTTAAAAAACTTGCAAATCTTGTAACTTTCACTGATATGGGTTTCTCTCAAGCAGCACAAACAGTCTGCGTTGCGGGTTGTTCCTTGGCACAGAACGCCTGCAAGAGCCACATGACTTAAACCCCGGGGTGTGGGGCATGCCCTGGCCCGGGCTCACTGACTAACTAAACTAACTAAAAAGCTAACTAACTACAGGTACTAACGTTGAACGAATGAACAGTTCTGGGGACAAACTACTGCAAAGCTGGAGCAGAGCAGTTCCGACGCACCTTCACTGGCGGCAAGAAGGAACTGAGGGTGGTAGGAGCACACAGCTCCCCTTATACCACGCCAGGTAGTTGCCATTCCAGGGGTCGCGGAGGGTGCTCCCCCTATGGGTACTGCTAGGGGAAAAACTTCCGGCACCGGTGCACGTGGCGAGCAAGCACACCTATTGTGGAATACACATGAGCAATCACCCGAAGAAGTTGTGTTATGATCAACTCTAAAGAAGAAATCTGTTCTAATAATATGCTCAGGATTAAAGGTGCAATAAAACTTTAAAACAAGAACAGCAAAATCATCAAGAACCCAGACCTGGTGCAACATGTGTAAGATGTTCTGCTCCCTTTCTTTAGCAACAATATCTTCAGCAATTTCTGTAATGCTTGTAATGTCAAACCAGGACTCAAAGCTAGAGACAGAGACAAAACAAATTCGAGTTATTTCATATACGTTATTGTTATTTGAATGTGTGTCAAACTCCAAATAAGTTTCTAAAGCACCTTATGTATGAAAGATGTACAATGGGTAGAATTAAAACAAGCATTTTCTTTTATCTAAGGCCAGACAATTGTAAACTGAATTATAATAAATAGAAATGCTAGTTGAAAAGCACAGTGCAATTTGTTATACAAAATAACATTATTTCTGCTGTAGAACTAGACCTTTGCAACCTCTTTCCAGCTTAGCACTGAATTCAAGTTGTTTTTTGGCACTGTGATGTGACAGGTAGTCATGAAGGAAAACGTAATGCTTGCTGCTTGGCTCAGAGGATTTTAATTTTTGCTCACTGGCTGAGATATAAAAATTGTTTCCCTCTCTGTGGAAGCAACTTCAGAAAAAAAAAAAAGTCACTTGAGGAAGGGAGAAGTCATTCAAGCCCCTCCATCACTGAACAAAGATGATTCCAATCACTGTGTGATAACTTATCAATTTATCCAACTCAAATAAACAGATGGATAGTTGTAATGATGCAGGGCATTAGTTCTGAGTAGCTCATGCAGAACACACACAAACAGTCTGGGCCAATAGACCATGGCCTACCTTTTCAAGTCATCAAATACATCTGGCAGTAGGAAGTTAAGTAGTGACCAGAGTTCAGCCAAGTTGTTTTGTAAGGGAGTACCAGTTAACAGAAGTTTATTGTCAGCATTAAACCGTTTTAATTCCCTGATAAGACGACAGTTCATGTTCTTAATCCTATGTCCTTCATCCACTATCAGATACTTCCAGAAGCAATGCTACAGAAAGAAAAGAAGGTCACCTAGCATTTCAAGGAATGTGATCTTTGCCACATCAAAATACATATTACAGACAGGACTAGTAGAACTCCCTATTATGGCTGCCCAACACTCCCAATTATAAGACCCTATCGTCATTTGCTTATAACTTTGCCAAACTTCAACTGTTTAGGCTAAAATTTCCCATGCCTAGAATCTACCTCAGACTGGACTTTTGGGGGAAGGGGGAGAGGCGCTGTGTGTGTGTGTGTGTGTGTGTGTGTGTGTGTGTGTGTGTGTGTGTGTGTGTGTGTGTGTA